GGATGGATGATGGATGATGGATGGATGGAGATGGATGATGGATGGATGGATGGATGGATGGATGGATGATGGATGATGGATGGATGATGGATGATGGATGGATGGAGATGGATGATGGATGATGGATGATGGATGGATGATGGATGATGGACGGATGGATGATGGATGATGGATGGATGGAGATGGATGATGGATGGATGGATGGATGGATGGATGGATAGATGGATGATGGATGATGGATGGATGATGGATGATGGATGGATGGAGATGGATGATGGATGATGGATGGATGATGGATGATGGATGGATGGATGATGGATAATGGATGGATGGAGATGGATGATGGATGATGGATGGATGGATGGATGGATGGATGATGGATGGATGAGATGGAGGATGGATGATGGATGGATGGATGATGGATGGATGACGGATGGATGATGGATGGATGGATGATGGATGGATGATGGATGGATGATGGATGGATGACGGATGGATGATGGATGGATGGATGATGGATGGATGACGGATGGATGATGGATGGATGAACCTGTTGTCTTTATTAAAGAGACTTCATTTATTATCATATTAGGGCCTGAGTGCTGTAAAACAGCAGGAGGCCCCATTGTTTTTTACCTGATTATTATTATTATTATTATTATTGCTATTATAATTATTATTAGTATACCAACTGAAGTCTTTCTTCACCATGCTGTAGTGAGCTGAGCATGATGAAACTTAGCAGATCCATAGAACTAGTGTAAATGTAGGGAGGCATGGTGATCCACATCATCTGGTTGTAAACTGACTCTCTGCATCACTTTGATTGTGACTCCTATCACCACTATAATGTACACCTATAAAATGTGGTGCACTTGTTCATCGGTTCATGTCCTACCAAACCATCTCTTGAGAACATGTTGTAAAACACACAGAAAGTCGGCCATTTTGACAAAAAGGACAGTTATCACTTGTCACCTACTGTGATTTTCCTTCAGTTTGGAGTGTTTTGTCTTCACATATGGGTCATTCATTATAGTGCAGAAGATGTATCAATTATTGTTGGTTAATCTGACAGGGGTGGGCATGAGATTTGTTTCTGTCTACCTATTGTTACATCAAACATGGCTTTGGGTCTAACATCACTACATTTGTTGAAAGTGAATGTGAAACATCAAGATTGAGTCCTAAACATGGTCGTATGTATGCTGAAGTGTAAAATTTACCACTGTTCTATGTAGCAGTACTGTAAAAAGTCTGTTAGTATTTGAAAAAAATCTTCCGTTCATCTTTTATCCTAGCAGCTTCAGAACAGTTGTGTAAAGTTTATAYTGCTTTAAGGACCTGAGAAGATGATCCTGTTTTAAAGGAGGTGTCCACAGCAGGTCAGTAAAGTGGGCGGTGACCAGTTGAACATTTAATAAAGTTGTATTTGGGCTAATAAAGCTTGACAGAAGGACCAGTGACTGCTTCAGCTCAACATACACAATCAAACCTCACCGGTGTGTAAGAGCCTTTCATCACTGCTGGCAGTTTTAATTCTTATTCTTTTATATATTCAATGTCCCAGCAAGCAAAGGTTTGGAAGTCAGGAGGTTCAAGCTGCCAGGTGGGTGGGGGTTGTAGTTCTGTCTCTGAAGGCTTTGAGCCCTCACCTGAAAGACATGAACTGTTTTATTTGAGGTAGGCAGAGTTTTCTACGYATCTGAAAAGTTATCCTTTTTTAACTTTGGTGATTCATGCACCCCAGCTTTAAATCCAGATGTTAAAACTTGCTGTAAACCTTGACAAACACATCTGTTCTCTGTTAACAGGTCATGGACTCTGGTGAGCAGGGCCTCTTTGGTGACCTACAGACCACCGTATCCACTATTGCCATGACAACCACCTCAGCCTCATTAGCGCCCCCTAATGAAAACCGTCACGGACATCATCAAGTGAGTAAAAACAAATTTCTTTACTAACTGAAGTTGTTCTCTCCAGGCGTGTATCTGAAAGACGAGGAGCTGAACAGTAAAACCAGGAGCAGCCACACATCCCTGAAAGCCTCAGATAAATGTTCAGACAGAACCAGGGGTCAGTGTTGTAACCAAGACCACCTAACCCGAGACCAAGTCCAGACCAAGACCAGGAAATACATCATCAGCGCCCAACAGAATATTCTGTACACATGTAGCAAACTTAGTCTGTAGAGCTCATTTTCCTGGAAGGCCACATGTGAGTGAAAACATAATGAACAGTGAGTCAGGTTTGGATTGGAATCAGTTTGTTTTAAATCCAGTGAAAACAAAGATGGTAACAAATAAATTGGACAATAATCTGGCTGTTCAGTCATATTTCCACAGGTGTGGTCTTGACTGGTCTTTAAATAAAATACAGAGTCCTCAATATCCGAGACAAGACCAAGACCATCAAAAAGTGGTCCCAAGACTGGGCTCAAGTACTACAACACATGGAATATTTTACTCAAAACAACTTTTTCTTTATTTTTAGTGGTCCTGTAGTAACTACATGATTGTTAGTTTAGTTCAGGTTTCAGTAGAGTTATTGTCTTTACAAAGTTACAAAGTTTTAAACTTAACAAAGTTAAGTTTACACTCATCTACAGGCCAGGACTCTACAGTTTACACTCATCTACAGGCCAGGACTCTACAGTTTACACTCATCTACAGGCCAGGACTCTGCAGTTTACTCTCATCTACAGGCCAGGACTCTACAGTTTAGACTCATCCACAGGCCAGGAC